GACGAGTTGAGAACGTTTTATTGGAAAAAATCCAATTATATAGGCAAATCTACTGCAGCAGCAGAAAATCTACAGGGTGTTCCTGGAAATCGCCAGATAAAATAAATTCACCCAAAAACAGTTTGTCATAATTTACACGTATATGATACACACTTTCCTTTTTATCAATTTTCTAAGTCTTGCCACGATTTAAGAGTAACTTTTTCAAAGAAAACCTAATTATGAGTTGAATGATATGTTTGGGAGCAACACACAGCGTGTTCTTAATATAAGGTATTATAAAAGTTTTTAAAAATGTTGTTGGCAATGCTTATTTATACATTTTTCCTTAGTCAGATGCGTCGAGTCACTTTAGAGCACATAATTATTACTTTAATCGCAGGCAAACTGTGTATTTCCCGAATAAATCCGAAAGAACGTGATGTTTTCCAACAGCTCCTAATGGCTTGATAAAAATATGCCCGAAATTGAGGCCTGAATGGAAGTTTGAAACTCGACGTCGTCGTCAACAGGCTCGCGCGTCGTTAAGCTGAACGGGCTAATAAAATTCAGGGCCACTTTTAAAGCGATATTAGAGGCCCTTTAAGATATATGGCAGAATGAATCGGGAAAGAATTTTATCCGCCCTTGGTTTAAGGGCCAATTACCTAAATAAACGAGTTGACGCGTGCAGCACCCCTTCTCAAATGGCTGCGCCCTTCCGCGTTTTCGGCGGAAAGTTTCAACTATAAAGTCGTCAACATTATCGAAATTTCATACGCAAAAGTATGATCTTTGCATTGTGCAATTGTTGGGTGGTGGCCGCGGGAATTTCAATATTTATTAGATAACATGCCGATGGAACAGGGACAAACAAAAGCGGCCAGAATCAATCATTCAGTCTCGCCCATATATCGACAGGGGCTTTTAAAAGGCAATTTTTTAATTAGACGCGAATTTCGGGTCCTCAGTTGCGCCATTGTGTTTCGCTGCTCGGACATTTTTAATTGAAGGATGATAAATCGAAATTCTGTTTTGCACAGACTGATTATTAATATTTGACATATTTTGGCGCAAACACAAACCATTCAATGTGCGCTCTTCCATGCAGTTCACATTGATTTCATTCCCAATTCAATAATAAATAATTTTTCGGGTTTTTTGGCATTTTGCTGAAGAATAATGCAATAATTCCCTGAACGTTGAATATAAATGTCGCAGCAACACTTCAGGATTAATCAGTGCTGAAATTCTAAAGCACACATTTTCCTTTAGAATTCCCTGAGCCGAAGAAAGAAATGGAATAATTTTCAATCAGCTTTACGTTCAATTTTCATCATATTTAAGGGCGCTGAAAATTTAAAGCCAAGAATAGTGACGGAAAAATGAATTTTCCGCTGCAAATCCAGGTCATTATTGTTGACTTTGCTGTATGACATTTGATAAAACGCGGGCTAAATAAATATGGGTGTGCAAATTCAGATTGATTTGCCCACGCATTTGCATACGGAAGCTGGCTGGTAATGGAAACAGTTTCATTTGCCCATTGGGAAAAATGTTGCAGCTTTTGGATTTTTTCCAATAAAACGTTCTCAACTCGTCGCGAGTTAAAAATTGCTCAAAAGCAAAGTGTGTATCATATACGTGTAAATTATGACAAACTTTTTGTCTGAATTTCTTTTATCTGGCGTTTTCCAGAAACACGCTGTAGATTTTCTGCTGCTGCCATACATCTCCCTATATAATTGTTTTTTTCCAATAAAACGTTCTCAACTCGTCGCGAGTTGAAAATTGCTCAAAAGCAAAGTGTGTATCATATACGTGTAAATTATGACAAACTTTTTTGTCTGAATTTATTTTATCTGGTGTTTTTCAGGAACATCCTGTAGATTTTCTGCTGTTACACGGAAGCGGCAGGAAAAGGCCTTCGACCTGTCTGGGCCACAAGCTGCTCCTTCCTATCAACAACCCGCCATAAAATATTAAGATATCAGCCACACCTGAATATCGCCGTTTGCTCGTCAATTGCGGAAAGATAAGAAAGACCCTTCGCAATTTTGAGTCTGCCATTTCTAGATATTGGGAAATTCGAAATCGTCTAGCAACAAGAAGTGGATAAGATGCAGCTAGTCGGGCAGGCGAAAGTAAATTGCTCTTGATTCCTGCAGATGGGGCATTTTCCAACCCATAGAGCTCAGGTGTTGGATGGAAAATCGCCGGCATTTGGGAAATAATGATAGAATTGTGATGCTTCAGACGGCCACTTAAGTGTACAGTTTGGGCCATTCAGGCAACCTCATTTTGCCTACTTTGCAGGAATGTTTCATACATTTTTTTGTGTAAATAAATTGCCTCAAATTGATAGCTTATAAATGCTTCAATCGCCTGAAATGTTGGTTCATTTGATCTCTAGTCTTTTAGTTTTGAGTTCTAAACCAGTTCAGATGTAAACCTGATATTTGGGAGTATCATAGGAAAAGCGTTCATGTTTTAATGCACAAAAGTTCAAGCGAGTCGAGAGAATCATTCGTTGTCTTTAAATTTTCAAACATTTGGCTGATCAGGAAAAATTGCTAATTGGCGGAGGCCGCATTATAAAAATTCGTAACCTTCAATCGAGAGCAGATTTAAAGTTCAAAATTTGGAATGTTTTAGCGAAAGCTTCTGGAATTCGGCACGAAAAATTTCGAGCTTGTCAGAAGGCCTGTAGATTCCTGCGAATTTTCAAATTTACGATCTTGAATGAGACAAAGTCTCAAAAAAGAAGGGCAGGTCAAAAAATCGTTAAACTGAGAGAGGGTGCAAATATTACGTTTCAAATTTGGGATTTTATGGTAACAGCTTCATCCCTTTGGTGCAGCAAAAAGCAATGAAATCAACAAACGCATTGATTTTCTGGAAATTCTCACACTTTTGGCCTATCAAGAAAAGTGTCTCGTTAGCACAGACCGCATTATAAAAATTTGTAACTTTCAAACTTGTTAAGGTATAAAGTTCAAAGTTTGCAGTTTTATAGCAAAAGGGTTCGAGAGTCC